AATATTACTCAGCAACCAAAAAAGAGAAACACGTCTTTTGCAGCAACTTGGATGGAGCTGGAAAAGATCATGCTTAGTGAGATAAGCCAGAAAAAGAAAAATAAATACCGGATGGTTTTCACTCATAGCAGGAGTATAATGGACCAGGTGAAAAAAATAACAAAAATAATGAACAACCATATACCAGAGACATTTTGTGGGAGTTGAGTGGGGAATGGGATCAAAAACGGGGGTCGGGGGTGGGGGAGGGAATGCACGGGACTATGGTGGTGGCCACAGGGGTGATTTGGTGATGGGAAACCCGTGGGGATTACAATCGAGATGGGAAAAAAAAATGTGCAAAATGATGTAAAAATAAACTTTGTAATAAAAAAAAAAATATTATGTAAGTGTTATTGTAGAACTTGCCCGTTTCTGGTGATGTGAGGCTTGATACTCAGTTAAGGTGCTGCTCAGACTTCAACGGTAAAAGTGTAATTTCCCATTCAATTGAGAGTTCTGTGGTGGCATATGAGACTGCATGAATAACCTGTTCTCTGACATCTTCAGCCCATTCACTGAGGAACCTTGCCTGTACCAATTACTGCGCCTTAGGCTGGAAAAATAGCTATCCGCTACGTCTATCATTCTCTCCACATCTATTGGCAGACAGTCTTATGTAGCGGTTATTTTCCTTGCTATTCTAGTGCAGGACTCATGAATTCATTAATTTCTGCTCCCGCCCCCACAATATAATCATTACCTTTGAAAAACAATGTTAAAGGTACTCCAATTTGGTTGGTAGGAGCCTCTACACACTACTCCTATGTCATTTTGAGAGTGTCCTTTTTTCTGGCCCAGAAAGTAACTCCAAGCTCACCAGTTCTTTCCCTATCCCAAACCTGAAGTCAAACAATTCTGGAAGGAGCACTGGCTCCTACTGGTCCTTCCAGTATGAAATGTATTTAGAAGTGAGAGCTGGGTGACAGGTGTTCATCGCTACTGAGTGATGAACCTGTTTATGTCAACAGAGATAGCTCGGGAATATTTCCTGAGAAATAGTGAGTTCACCCTGAAATCTCCAGTTTGGCTCCATCACTACAGGGTTCTTCTTCATCTTGACCGATTCCATTATTTTATCTTTCCTTTCCCCATTGTGAGAACTCTGTTCAATAATAGCAAGTATCTCCTCATTTCCTTTCCTCCATAACATTCATATAAGTTGCTAAAGTTACTACACCAACACCACTGGCAACAGTAACTTACTAAGTAAATTCAAGGTATCCTTGACTTTTTTTCCTCCTTAGCTTATATCCTACTAAAGGCGCTCTCGGTCCGTGTTGAGTATGAAATTTACCTTAGGTTCTTCCTTATATTGTCAATTTGAAATGCACTGTGGGTTCTTTTGGTATTTGTATTTAATTTTAGGGTGTGGTTTTTGAGACTTACGTTTTTACTTGTATTTTTATTTTAATATGAAAATTCAAAATGAAACTGTAGCTGCATACTCAGGAGCATCCCTACCCTTTCCCTCTAACAGTCCCTATCAGTTTACAAAATCCTTCCGTTCCCTCATCCTGTTCTTCACAATGGGGCTCATGTCTGGACAAGCGTCTCCATTCCTACACTGCTCCCCCTCCCAGGCTGTGTCAGCAGGCCCCTGCTACAGGGCAAGGGTCACAGCTGCACTTCCTGCAGGCCTTAGCAGCTCCATTTGCAGACCAGGCGCTATGCAAACACACTCTGAAAACACACCCTCCTCCTAGCTGAGCGGGGCCAGATAAAGCAAGGAAGCACCCGCTGACCCTTCAGGGAGCAAAGTTGCAAGCCGGGGCCAGCCCACATGAACCTTTTCTTAGTCTATGAGGTGTGTGTATACATTTTAAAATTAGGTATTAAAATTTGAAAATCAAACCATTTTACACTAAAAATAATACTGATTTTTCTAGAAAAGGCGGCAGTTAAGGCACTACCGGGTTTATAATCTCACGTGGTGGTGATGATCAGCTGAAGCTGGGGGACAGTGGCTCCCTGGCAGGAGGTTCCTGGTCTACTGGCTGCCCCCTGAGCCATTCCTACCCCCCCCACCCCCCAGTGTAAAGGAGAAAAGGGGTAGATTATCCCTGTTCTTATCAGGCACCGTGCTAAGTATCTGAGCTACACAAGCTTGCTGAACCATCACGTAAGTGCAGCAAGGCAGACAGTACATCCCCCTTTCAGATGAGTGAAGAGAAGCTCAGTTAGTACAATTAAGATACTCAACGCTGTCTAACTTCAGGGGCTGTGCTGCCCAAAGTTAGGACCTGTGGCAGTATGTACAC